GCAATCTTTGTCTGACAGAAAACTGCGCCACACTGAAAAAACTGCAAGTACTTTTAAGTACGCATGATTTTTGTAATTTAGCACAGTTTTCTGTCAGACAAAGATTGCTCAGGAAGAGCATGGTAAGGTGTCGGATAGAGCTCGCTAAGACGAACAAAATGAGCCTATTGGATATGGATCTATTTCGAATTAGCGAGAAATTTTGATCCCTAAGTACTTGTTTTTCTCCACAAGTACACATCCGAGCTCTGATGATGCATAGAAAGCCTGATCGGTGTACATGAACCGCTTAGAGATATTTATGAAGCTAACCAAATATTTTTTATACCTTATTGCAATCTACAAATTCAGAAAGTTCCGTGAGATTTGAAGAAGGTTGTGTATAATATGGTTGATATTCCATGGGTTACCTTTCCCCTTCCCCCGTCTCCGCTCGGTAATATAAAAATATTGATGTCTGCGTCTATGATGTCTCTTACATAGCAATGAAGTTGCTGGTAGTCGTATTTGCGATTCATGGATACTCCAAAATTCATTGACGATAAGTGATCAGAATTTATGATTATAGAAAAACTTCTGAACGATAATTTTCATCTCGAAACATTCTTACATGACTAATCTTTGTCATACCCTTTTTATCGTACACATCAAACGTGAGTACGGTTTAGACTTTTCCAAAGCGATCTCGATTTCGGTTCGGTTTTTAGCTGAATTATTGCAGTTTAAATTGATGTGTAGAACTAGAAAGTGCCAGAGATGAATTCAAAGGCATCATACATAGAAGAAACGTTCAAACTCGTCTTCTGAAATGATGACCAATATTATTCTCCAAAACTCATTTTCAAAATTATGAAATAAAATTTTTCAGGCCAACTAAATAGAATGGAGGATACGTAATTTAGCTTTTTCTGAGAAATATTATTTACCGCTTACTAGCTTTTCTGCACCCTCATAAGTACACTAGAATAGTTTTCGTTATCATTTTGGCGCATCAGATGTCGGAGTTAGTTCTCGCATTGAATTGCCTTTTAGGCTAAAAAACGTAGTAGAAACCGATCGCCTCTTAGACTCAATACTCAACAGGTTGACTTTTAAAAGCGGATAAATCTCACATTCAGGCCCAGCATATACATGAATATAGCCACTGGCAATAGTCTAAGACAACAATTGAGCTCTGGGCGAGATTACATGCGTTAACTGTCGATAATTTAATTCGACATTTTTCCGATTCGGTTAAATTTTTGAAAAATTCGAACCGTGCTCATCTCTCGTACACATAACTTCCGGGCAAAATCCGAAGTTCCCGTGTATATTCTTTTATTATTGAGAATACAGAAATTGATTTGTTTTTATATTAAGACAGTTTTCGACATGGCATTATTACTAGCATTAATTGTTATTATTCTACTTCTCATGGTTCTTAAGCAAGTTCGACCATTTCTTATGCGACATTCACGATTACAGAAAGATTATCGAAACATTACACTTCTTCCACTTTCACCGATCCCATTTATTGGAAACGCACATCAGTTCGACAAAAAATCTTATGTGTTTTATGGCCTAATTCGTCGATTATCCACAGAATGCCAAAATCAAGGAAAGGGCGTATTCTGCCTCTGGAGTACAGTATGGCCAATGGTTTTCTTATGTTCAGCAGAAGACCTTAAAGTATAATAAATTGTTCTCTTAGGAAAACCAACTCTTTGTATTAAATTATAGACATTCATTAATAATACTAAGCAACTCAGCAAGTCACTCGAGTATACTTTTCTCGAACCTTGGCTTAAAACTGGTTTGCTCACTAGGTAAAGTTTATTGAACATATCCTACTCACTATTGCTTCTATAATATAGTAAAAATGAGAAATGGCGTAGTCATCGACGTATTATCACTCCTTCATTTCATGATACTGAATTATTGAACAATTATATGCGCATCTTCAATGAACAAGCATGTATTCTCGCTCATCGTTTTGACGGATTTTCTAGCCAATCCAATAAAACACATGATCTTTATCCCCACATCTCTGCTTGTACACTAGATATCATTGCTGGTTAGTAGACCGTCTATTTTCTCTTGTGTACATTCGTTTATTTTGCTAGAAGCGGCAACAGGCATAAATCCGCGAGCACAGTCAGACGACGAGACAAATGAATTTGTTGCGGCTACCGTTCGGTACGATAAATTATTCACATTCAAAAATTCACACTTTCCTTTTATAGATTCACTGAAATATTAAGCTTACGTTTACGGTCTCCATCGATGTGGTTTCCATTTATCTTTGATCGATCATCGGTTGGACGCGAGCAGAAGAGAGTGCTCAAAGTGCTTCATGAATTTTCTCGAAAAGTACTTTTCCTCTTTGATTTATCATTTATAACTGTAGAATATTTCATAAAGATAATTGCAGAACGACTCGCCACATTTGAAGTACAACGAATCACAAATGTCGATGATAAGACGAATAAACGGCATCTGACATTTCTCGACAGTCTCCTTACTCAAATGCATGCAGAAAAGCTTACATTGGACGATATTCAAGAAGAAGTTGATACCTTTATGTTCGCAGGTCATGATACAACAGCTGCTGCTATTCATTTTTTCTGTTATTTGATGGGATGTTACCCGGACGTACAAGCAAAAGTTCATGCCGAAATGGATGCTATCTTTGGAGGTCACATATTTCCCATATCCTTCAATACTATTGTTTTATCTATTTAAGATGATCGGACACGACCATGCACAATGGAAGATATTCCACAAATGACATATCTTGATTGTGTAATAAAAGTAAGCATCGTATCTTTTTGGAAGCAAACAATAGAGTCATTTTCCTTTCCATAGGAATCGCTGCGAATTCTTCCTCCAGTTCCACTCATTGGACGAGAAGTACAAGAAGATTTTATATATCGTAAGTTAAAAAAATATTCAATATCTTGAGGTCGAAGAGTGTCCGTAAATATGAGGATGCATACATTGACCTTTGGTCCTAGCACTCACACTCCTATTCTGCATCAGAACTACGCAGGATGTGGGGTAAATAGCCTACACCTCAACAACACATATATACTTTTTCGGACCAGTTACGCGACTAGTATTCGGGCTAATTCCTGCGAGTATCCAAATTTGATTCTTTAATTATTGGCAAGACTCGGTTCGACTTCCATCAATTTCGATTTTGATCAAGGCTGAATGGAATCTCCGCAGTATGAAACGAATTCCGAGACACTTGATCATCAAAGACTTAGTTACCATGACTTCGACCTGGCAAAGTAGATCTTAAATAAAAGCGGTATCTTGTTAGGATAACTTCACTTAGATTAAAGCTCACTAAATATTCATCGAGATCACTGAGCCCCATAATGAACAAGTACAAAACTCTCGACTGAGACTAGCATATCTTTAATCATTCCTTTTTGTAATAAAAAAAATGCTGCTGCTGACCACTGAACCCTATACGATAAGGAACATTCTATTAGTGGAAGTATTATTTCAGTACACTTTATTGTTAAAATAAATACTTTAGATTGAAGAAGGAAACAGAAAATAAAGCGGGACGGGACATGCGAGACGACACTTTGATTGTGCCGCGGAGCTATGCTCTGCATCTATCCTAATTCTTAAGCCGGGTTAAAAAATATACGTTTCGGTACAGAAAAGTACCATCTGTTGTTTATATGAAAAACTAAACTTATCTACACTCTACATAATAATTACTGGGTATGAAGACTGACCGCCAATTGTTTTTGCAAATACCTCGAATTGTTCAAGAAGATATCGAACAAGCAGAATGAAAACCAAAGTAGTCGATAGGCTATGTGTTGCTCTCCCTGGCTCGCTTCAGATACATTAGAGTGAAACCTATCTAATGCTTTATTTAAATATAAGAAACTAAGTGAAACTGTCAAAGTCAACGTGATTACGGTTGATATCCATATATCTGATTTCAGTTGGCAACGTGTACCGTACAAATTGTACTTCAATCGATTTTTTCTAATGCAAAACCCATTAAGATCGAAAACCGCCGAAGCTTGGATTACTCGTAGTTTTAATTTTAAAAGAAGCTTCACATATACTTAGGGTTTCCCAAAAGTAGCGGCGTAGTCCCCTTTTCTCTTATAAATAAGCTTCGAAAGAAAACCTTTTTCGGCAATCGATAGAGCGGGAAAACTCTATCTTTCTATGTTAATTGATCTATATCAACCCGAGATCGTACTAACGGAAATTCAACAAAAACTCTTTTT